CACTGTTAGCGACCCGATAGCACAATTGTAATGATAGATATTATTTCATCATACATTCTGCATCGGGTTCTCTCACAGCGTCCGGGGGTTGGGGGAGGTGGGGCTTATTCACGTTCCTGTCGGACGCTTGCGGGAAGTTCTCGAGGCCAGTTTTGACTGGAAAGACGTATTTAAATTTGAGTTTAAAGTTGAAGTGTTAGATGAACCCCCAAAGTTCCGTCTGCAGGAGACATGTCAGATGCCACCAGACTTATATACTTGTATAATTCTGATTTGCCCTGTTTAATACTTTGGTGGAAGGGCTGGAGCTGCGGGATCTTTGTCTGTTTGCACTGTCATGGCCCGCAGCTTTCTTGTTTCTGCTTTGTGTTAGCTGTTCCCTTTTTGTGCGCTTCCTTGTCCTTCGTCTAATCGTTCTTGTGGAACTAAAACCCTTTCACGTTGGATCAGTACATCAGCATTTTGAGTTGGGACCATGCAGACAAACTTGGTTTGTTCGTTGTTGAGGTTTCCTTGGAAAGCGACCGGTCTTGGAGTAATTGGGATACTGTGGCACAACACGCCAATAGTCTTGCATCAGAGTGGTTTTCATCCAGTCGGAACTCTCATTTGTCTTTCTTGGTGTTGTCCTCTTGCAAGCAAAGGGAAGGCCTTGAAGGAAAGTGGCATGGGACACGATGCATTTTCTGGGAGATGATGACATTTCCAAATGCACACACTCGTGCCGCAATTGGGATAGATATTTTATATTTTATATTCTCAGTGCCTTGTCAAAAAAGGGACGACATGACATGCCCTATTTTCAACGCACTGTTGAAGCGTGCACGCCCCTCTCTGTTCTTGTTAGTTTGACAGGCGTCCAGCAAAGCAACCACTGGACTTCATGGGTTTCAGCTAGGTGCGCTTGCAGCAGGCGCAAGCCGCGTTTTCCACTTCAACGTTTCCAATGGTTTCCTTCTGTGGCCTTCGATCTGTTCGACGCCGCGTCCCAGGAGCTGCCAGCGTTGGATCCTTGGGACGGCGCCGTCCCAAGGGTCGAGCCGCCGGAAGCGTGGCTTGCCGCGCCAATCCCATTGCGACCTGCGAGACGAGTGGCTTGGCTTCTTTTGGAGAAAGGGGTGTCCCACCAGGTCACTCGAAACCTCTCTGACGGTCTTTTTGAACTGACTCACTGACCTCATGATTTAATGCATATTTATATACTTCAAGATCTTCAAGACTTTTTGTACCAAATAGTGGGTCCAAGAAAGTGACCCCGTCAGAAGTGCATTGGTGGGTCATGGACCACAACTTTAGTCCATGAAAGGGACATTTCTTGAGATGGGGCACGTCCTATCAGTTCTTGGACTTCTTGAATGATTGGTGTTCACCCTCCCACCTGGGTGTCCACATTGGTATGGAAACAGCAGGCATGGGCAGCTTCAAGGTGGAGCTCTTCTTGGATCAGATGCCTTTGACGGCCTCCAACTGGATCGACTTGGCCAAAACAGGCTTTTATGACGCCCGGTTTGGAACTCAAAAGGCTTTGCAACTCGCTATTCCACCTCTTTTCTGGGGAAAGCGCAGGAATCAACATGGCCTCATGGACGTTTTCGGAGGCATCAAAAACATGCATTTGGTCCATCAATGGACTATGGACCTTCTCTCTCGCTTTCTTTTTCTGCCTGTCTTTGTCAGTCCGTTGAGGATGGTATCCACTTCCACCGGGTGATCCCCAACTTCATGTGCCAATTCGGGTGCCCCTACGCCAAAGACCCCAAGAGCCCTCGTGCGGGCACCGGCGGCCCCACCGCCGGAGAGTTTGAAGTCTTGGGAACGGATCAAAAGGCCTACAGGGATAGCGGCGGGAACATCGAGGACGAGTTCACCACCAAACTGGGAAACGAGCCAGGTGTCCTGCAGGAGAGAACTTTGTATTTTTTTGCCCAAACTGATTTCGAATCTCACCTTGGCCTGAAGAGAAATGGCATCTTGTCATTTTGCCTTTGTTTTTGGGGTCTGCGCGGCTCTCTCTATTCTTCGTGCAAGCTCGGCCCGCTAGGCCCTCTCTCTTTATCTCTCCCAGGTACGCTGTCCATGGCCAACACGGGACAACCCAACTCGGGTGGCTCGCAATTCTTCATCAACGTGAACAACAACAGCTCCCTGAACTGGTTCAATCGCCCCACTACTTCGGCCCATCCAGTCTTTGGCAAGGTGGTGGAAGGAGCCTCGGCGGAAAACGCGGCAGTGTGTCAACCTCTGTCTCTAAGAGATCTCCTGCATTCAATTTTCAAACAGGGGAGGGAGTGGAGCCGGCCTGCAGAGCTCCACTTAACAAAGCTCTCTGCAGTGTCCTGAGGATATCACTGGAGACGTCCGAATGACGTACCTGCTTCTTTCTAATGTTGACAAGCTGTTACCCCACTCTTTCTTAAAAAGCTAGTGCGCCGATGTTCAAACAATTCTGGTTTGCTGACTTTTCGCCATGCCGTTCTGCAAGCCAAGGTCTAACTGCTGTAAGGTCAAGGGCTAGTGCAATCGTGATTCAGTAGCTGAAATTATGCTCACCCCAAGAGAGAGAGAGAGAGAGAGAGAGAGAGAAAGAGCAACTTAGAAGAAGAAACGAAAGCAGAAAGGAACAAAAGCGGGGAGGG